CTTCTGCCTTTCTATCCCCCAATGGAGCATAGACCCTCAACCAACTCACGCCAAGTCGTTCTATCCTTCGCCATTGCTTGGAGCTCTCCCCATGTCCTCCCAATCTTTCTAACCTCATTCTCCAGCTCTCTCCCCCATGTGTTTTTTGGCCTTCCTTTATTCCTCCATTGTTCTCCCTATATCATAGAGAGTTCTAACATTCCAGGTGCCAATTCTGGAGGTTTTCCTTACGGCTTTCTCCACACCGTGTCATACTTCTTCTATTTGAAGAGCCTCCCCTCATCTTGGTTGGCTGGATTTGATTTGCTTCTCTTTTTGACTTATCCATGGTTGGTTAGTTTTTGTGGCTATGGTTTTTACAGGATGAGGTTTCCAACCTCAAGCCCAACCCTACCCTTAGTCGCCTCTTACGACATGCCTGGTAGGGTGCAGTGTCACTATTCTTTGCTTCCCGTGAGGGCCCCGGTGACACACGGGCGACTGTTACTGTTACTACCTGGATATTACGCGTTTATTTTAGCCCACCTGACTGAACAACGCGCGCTGTTTCAAACGACCGAACTCGACGCGCCCATTTTCAGGTAACCAGAACAGACCTCGAGAATCAGACCAGGTAGTCACAAGTACCTGAGGATCGACAACAATCGGAAGACAAAGCACGTTCAGCGAAAAACTTGAGCAGGAACACGCCCTTACATCAAGCTTCAGTTCATCACAACACACTGCCTGTGTGGCCATGGAAGCAGTTGTTTCCAGACAACAGGGCTAGACATGCATTGTAACACTGTCGCACACTGGCGGCTTTCTTCAGTATCTTGAGGGACCCACCCACCCAGGACCCACCCACCCTCTTCCCTCTCGTAACTAAAAACACGCTTCCGCAATCTTCCACAACACAGCGTTTACTGTTTCATAGCTGAGCTTTGTCGTAATTTACGCTGTAAAAACAGTGCCGGGTCTAGCAATGGGAGGAGACGTAAACTTGTCCGCTATTGTTTGCCATGTACTGATAGTGGGTGGTAGGTACAGAAAATCAATACTGAACACAAAGGAGCCAAGACATTAAGTATGAGAAAATACACCAGGGAGTATGAGAAAACACACCAGGGAGTATGATACAACACACCAGGGAGTATGAGACAACACTCCAGGGAGTATGAGACAACACACCAGGGAGTATGAGACAACACATCAGGGAGTATGATACAACACACCAGGGAGTATGTGACAACACACCAGGGAGTATGAGACAACACACCAGGGAGTATGAGACAACACACCCAGGATTATAAGACAACATACAAGGGAGTATCAGACAATAGACCAAGGAGTATGAGACAACACTCCAGGGAGTATGAGACAACACACCAGGGAGTATCAGACAACACACCAGGGAGTATCAGACATCACACCAGGGAGTATGAGACAACACAACAGAGAATATGATACAACACAACAGGGAATATTAGACAGCACACCAGGGAGTATGAGACAAATCAACAGGGATAATGAGACAATACACCAGGGAGTATGAGACAATACACCAGGGAGTATGAGACAACACACCAGGGAGTATGAGACAACACAACAGGGAGTATGAGACAATACACCAGGGAGTATGAGACAACACACCAGGGAGTATGATACAACACAACAGGGAGTATGAGACAACACACCAGGGAGTATGAGACAACACACCAGGGAGTATCAGACAACACATCAGGGAGTATGAGACAACACAACAGGGAATATTTTACAACACAACAGGGAATATTAGACAACACACCAGGGAGTATGAGACAACACAACAGGGAGTATGAGACAATACACCAGGGAGTATGAGACAATACACTAGGGAGTTGACTAACCACAGGGAGTATGAGACAACACAACAGGGAGTATGAGACAATACACCAGGGAGTTTGAGACAACATACCAGGGAGTATGAGACAACACACCCGGGAGTATGAGACAACACACCAGGGAGTATCAGACAATACACCAGGGAGTATGAGACAACACTCCAGGGAGTATGAGACAACACACCAGGGAGTATCAGACAATACATCAGAGAGTATGAGACAACACACCCGGGAGTATGAGACAACATACAAGGGAGTATCAGACAATATACCAGGGATTATGAGACAACATACGAGGAGGTAGGAGACAACACACCAGAGAATAGGAGACAACATACCAGGGAGTATAAGACAACACACCAGGTAATATGAGACAACATACCAGGGAGTATGAGACAATACACCAGTGAATATGAGACATATACCATGAAGTCTGAGACAAAACAACCAGGGAGTATGAGACAATACACCAGGGAGTATGAGACAACACACCAGGGAGTATGAGGCAACACACTCGAGATTATGAGACAACATACCCGGAGTATGAGATAATACACCAGGGAGTATGAGACAACATACCAGGAAGTATGGAAAAAAAATGAGGACCTAGGGAGTATCAGAACTACACAAGGGGAGTATGAGACAACACTCGTTGAGACAAAAGGGAAGTAAGCATAATTCTTTGGCAGCACCCAAAAGGAGACAACACACAGAAAAAGGAGACAACATACCAGGGAGTATGAGACAACACACCAGGTAATATGAGACAACATACCAGGAAGTATGAGACAACACAATAGGGAATATGATAGAACTCATCAGGGAATATGATACAACACAACAGGGAATATTAGACAACACACCAGGGAGTATGAGACAACACAACAGGGAGTATGAGACAACACACCAGGGAGTATGAGACAACACACCAGGGAGTATTAGACAACACACCAGGGAGTATGAGACAACACACCAGGGAGTATGAGATAACACACTAGGGACTATGAGACAACACACCAGGGAGTATTAGACAACAAACCAGGGAGTATGAGACAACACACCAGGAAGTATGAGACAACACACCAGGGAGTATGAGACAACATACCAGGGAGTATAAGACAACACCCCAGGGAGTATCAGACAACATACCAGGGAGTATAAGACAACACACCAGGGAGTATCAGACAACACACTAGGGAGTATCAGACAACACACCAGGGAGTATCAGACAACACACCAGGGAGTATCAGACAACACACCAGGGAGTATCAGACAACACATCAGGGAGTATGAGACAACACACCAGGGAGTATCAGACAACACACCAGGGAGTATCAGACAACACACCAGGGAGTATCAGACAACACACCAGGGAGTATGTGACAACACACCAGGGAGTATGAGACAACACACCAGGGAGTATGAGACAACACCCCTAGGATTATGAGACAACATACAAGGGAGTATCAGACAATAGACCAAGGAGTATGAGACAACACACCAGGGAGTATCAGACAACACACCAGGGAGTATGAGACACACAACAGAGAATATGAGACAAAACAACAGGGAGTATGAGACAATACACAAGGGAGTACGAGACAATACACCAGGGAGTATGAGACAACACACCAGGGAGTATGAGACAACACAACAGGGAGTATGAGACAACATACCAGGGAGTATGAGACAGACAACCCGGGAGTATGAGACAGAACACAGGGAGTATCAGACAATACACCAGGGAAGAAGACCCGGGAGTATGAGACAACATACAAGGGAGTAAGACAATACACCAGGGATTATGAGACAACATACAAGGGAGTGAGAGACAAACACCAAGAATAGGAGACAACATACCAGGAGTATGAGACAACACACCAGGTAAGAGAGACATACCAGGGAGTATGAGACAATACACTAGAAGAGAGAATACCAGGGAGTAAGAAGAAGAAGAAGAAGAAGGATTAGAGAAACAGAAGAAGAAAGAAGAAGAAGAAGAAGAAGAAAAAGAAGAAGAAGAAAAAGAAAGAAGAAGAAGTGCAGAAGAAGAAGAAGAAGAAGAAGAAGAAGAAGAAGAAGAAGAAGAGCAGAAGCAAGAGCAGCACGCAGAAGAGATGAGGCGGGAGGAGGAGGAAGAAGAAGAGAGAAGAGAAGAGAAGAAGAAGAGGAAAAGAAGAAGGAGAAGAAGAACAACAAAGATTTCGAGCACAAGATCGGTATCATTAAACTTATTAGTCCAACAATAAATCTGAAGCGTGTATACATCAAATCTAAAACGATGCATGCAGTTAGGATGAAGTCACGCACGGATACTGTGAAATCTAACATTCAAGACACATCGAAAACAGGTGTAGTCGTATGGGATTTTAGCTTTCACTTCAGGGAAGCACTCTTTCGTTATCGGGGTTTTCCGGGAAGGAACGCGAACATAAATAACCAACAGATTAGTCAAGGATGTGGTCACATGATAGGAAACGAGTATGCATAGGGGACCTAACAGGGGGGGGGGGGCAGGGGGTAGGGAATGGTTCAAATCCATTGTGAGGCCCCCCCCCCTCCGTCCCAGCAAAGAGGGGCAGGGGGTAGGGGAAGGTTCAAATCCCTTGTGAGGGCCCCCCCTCCCCCTTTCCATGCAAAGAGGAGCAGAGTTCTGTTACCTGTTTTATGATCACTGAAATGGTGAAACCTAGTTCAAGTTCATAGGTTTTCATTCAAGCATCCCCCACCCCCCACCCCACTGTACACAAGATACTACGCATAAGATAGTTCGCCCCCCCCCCCCCCCCCCCCCCCGCCCCCTTGACGGCCAACTTCCTGTAGAAATATGTGTCCCAGTACATTTAAAAGTAATCGGTCATATCAGCGAACTAACAGGAATGTATTCTGTTAGGTACGTTTCTCAAAATCAATACCACGCCCAGACAAAACGACTTCAATCTTCGCCACTTGATTCACCTCTATAATTGTTCACACCAGGGGCTTTATTCACAAAATCGAAGCAAAGATTAACCTTCAGCTTGTACGTGTCTTGGTAGGAAATGTCACCGGAAAGACTTTGAAGGGACAGCAGGAGGCTTGTCACTATACTTGTTTTGTGGTGTGGACTGAGCAAAAAAAAAAACAACGTTAGCTTGAATGTGGACTGAACAAAAAAGGCAAGTTTCTTCGTTTGTAGACCGAGCCAGAAGCAAAGGTTGTTAGATTTGTAAACTAAACAAAAAAGCAAATTTAATTCGTTTTGTGGACTACACAAAAAGCAAATTTAAGTCTTTTTGTGGACTAAACAAAAAGCAAATTTAATTCGTTTTGTGGACTAAACAAAAAGCTAATTTAATTCGTTTTGTGGACTAAACAAAAAGCAAATTTAATTCGTTTTGTGGACTAAACAAAAAGCACATTTAATTCGTTTTGTGGACTAAACAAAAAGCAAATTTAATTCGTTTTCTGGACTAAACAAAAAGCACATTTAATTCGTTTTGTGGACTAAACAAAAAGCAAAGTTAATTCGTTTTGTGGACTGAACAAGAAGCAAATTTGGTTCGTTTAGTGGACTGAACAAAAAGCAAAGTTAGTTCGTTTTGTGGACTGAACAAAAAGCAAAGTTAGTTCGTTTTGTGGACTGAACAAAAAGCAAAGTTAGTTCGTTTTGTGGACTGAACAAAAAGCAAAGTTGGTTCGTTTTGTGGACTGAGCAAAAATCAAAGTTGGTTCGTTTAGTGGACAAAACAAGAAGCAAAGTTGGTTTGCTAAAAGACTAAACAAAAAGCAAAAAAATTTTTAATGCTAATGACTTAGCGGGCATATGGTGCTGATGTCATATTATTAAAGATCAAACGTCATTGGATGGATGCTGTAGTCAAAATCACCCCGGTTACCTTTACTACCCATTAGATTTCCCAATAAAAACGTAAGGCTCTGTCTACCTGGAAGAAAAGGGTCCAAATTTAGAAATTCACAGTAATGGGCATTTACGCTCAAGACCTTCAAGCCGGTAGGCAAGCGTCTAGCCTCTAGCCTAGTGCAGCTCCTAGTTCAGGTGACAAGGGAACACTTTTGTTGTATGGGAGTACAAGAGTTCGGTCTTCATTTATAAGATCAAACAGAAGGCGATTTTGAAATTAAATTTCAGCGAGTACATAAATGTCCACCAAATACTGTCACACATGCAGAGACTGCCACACAAGCATACACTGGCACACAAGCAGACACTGTCACACAAGCAGAGACTGCCACACAGGCAGAGACTGTCACACAAGCAGACACTGTAGCCCAAGCAGACACTGTCAACAAGTATAGACTGGCACACAAGCAGACACTGTCGCACAAGTATAGACTGGCACTGTCACACATGCAGACACTGTCACACAAGCAGACACTAGCACACAAACAGAGACTGCCAGACAAGCAGAGACTACCACACAAACATAGAATATCACAATAGACTGTCAAACAAGCAGAAACTGTCACACAGGCAGAGCCTGTCACACAAACATAGACTGTCACACAAACAGAGGCTGTCACAGACAGGGACTGTCACCCAAGCTGAGACTGTCACACAAGCAGAAATTGTCACACAGGCTGAGCCTGTCACACAAACATAGTCTGTCACACAATCAGAGGCTGTCACAGACAGAGACTGTCACACAAAAAGAGATTATCACACAAGCAGACACTGTCACACAAGCAGAGACTGCCACACAGGCAGAGACTGTCACAGAAACATAGAATCTCACACACACATACACTGTCACACAAGCAGAAACTATCACGCAAGCATTGACTGTCAGACAATCACACAAACATACGCCTTCACATAAACATCCTGACACACAAGCAAAGACCGTTAATTAACCAAACAATATGCCACGCACACAAAAACGTGACCTCCAGAAAATGTGACAAAACAATCCATATTATTGGCATCCGTATTTTTATTCAAAACACTGGTCAAGTTGTACTCAGTAATCATCAGTCAATCTACATAAGTGATCCTAGACAAATTCTGTTTTTCAGATTCGAGATTCTTCGAGTGACATCTCCATACCAACCGACACTCGGGGCTAACAAGGCATGGGTCAGGGTGTTCTTAAAAGCAACAATCAATGTACAGAATGCCACGAATCAATATAACGCAGGTCCCTGCTTATCTGGGGCTCATTTATGGTCAGTGACATGTGTCCTCCAGATTAATCAATGTTCAGGTTTTTATATCGTGGCATTTGACTCACTACGCAACAGGAGTCCATTCTTGAAACTCGGAGATGAGATGTTCTTAGAAGAGATGCTGGGGTAACAGGGAAAGGAAAGGTCATAACTGACACACACACACACACATACACAAACAGACGATTATTGGAGCTGAAATCAGCCATCCAGATCATAAAATAACAACATATAAATTATTTTGGAAATGCGACGAAAATGCTCTGGTAGCAGCGTCAACAAATAATAGGAAATGAAGAACTATGATGAAATAAAATCAGCATAAAACAAGACCTCAAGTGAATCAGTCACAGTTACGATGGTTTGGACATGAATGCAGAGTGGGAGAAAATCGGCCATCATTGTAGGCATAGAGGCTAAGAATCAGGGAACCAGACTTCCATGGAGACCCAGGGTGCGATAGGAAGACAATATCCAACAGTCCTTGACTGACGGAGGACTGGAATGGAACAAAACCAGAAAGAAAACTGCTAATAGAGAAGTCTGGCGATCTTTCTAGCAAACCTCTACACCCCAAGGTAGAAGAGCAACGACCATGTAAGTAAATATAAATCAAGAGTATAGAGAAGATATAACGTCTTCCGTCACAGACGTACCCTTGACTTTATTTGCTGTAAATGGAGAAAGAGGAGGAAGGGGGAGGAGGAGGACAGAGATGAAATTAATGCAGTAGAAGACAGCGAAGAAGAGTCAGAAAGTTGTCAACATCACGCCAGCCAACCGTCAGGCTGCTTCACATCTTAGGAAACTAAAACTAGGCAACTGGTGTAAGGTCATGCAATGGATACCATGCCACTGTGGAGTTCCTGCAACTGAAAGAGCTGATAAACTAGCAAAGGAAGGTGCAAAAAAAGAACAACCTAACGTACCAGTCTCTTATCAACAGAAGAAGAGAATAATCTAAGCAATCAGAAAGCCATCAAATCTGGCACAAGATGAATACTATTGATGGACAGACCAGAGCAAAGTTATTATTCTGTGCCTTAGAACAGGACACATTCGACTTCACAGCCACATGTACACACAATTTAAAATAGGCAAATCAGCCGTGTGCACGAGTGGATTGGCAACTGAGACAACAGATCATGTCCTCCAAGACTGTCCCAAATACAGAATATTCAGGCAAAACTTTTGGCCAAGAGAATCATCGGTGCAAGTCACACTTTACAGGTCCCTGCGTGAATTACAAAAGACAGTGAAGTTCAAAATAGAGACAACATTGCGGATATAAATAATCTATTTCAAGCGAAAGAAAGAAAATGTTGCCATTTATAAATCCATGCCACTTGTTAATTCTTTGTATTACAAGCCACAGCCTATTTATTATTTGATTTGTCACAATTGATCTCACCACGGCAAGAACAAAATGACTGGCTAATTATCCTACAACATCATATATTTCATGCAAAGAGTAAGTTTGAAAGTATAAGCATGAAAAAACATGGCGTTGCGAACGCGCTTCGTAATGCCAGAGTCTCGGGTTCAATTCTAGCTGCGTGGGATTTGGCAGCAGAACGTCTTGCGTTGGTTTCGACAGAGGTAAAGACAGCCGACCGTTTACATAGAAATGGCAAACTACTGAACGTAAAAAATGTTCTTAGAAAAACCACAAAAGCCAAAAATGAAAATACTACATGACATTATTTGCCTTTGTGAATGTTTTTCCTCGTGTGGTTCCAGACCCCATTATGAGGAAAACAAGAAAAGATCCCCTGCCTCCCCAACAAGCATGTCGTAAGATTCGACTAACTGGGTGCTTCCTTCGAAGTCGGAGTGTATTTGTCCGAGTGGCAAGGAACAACCAACTGCACATAAACAGGCCAGTAAAACTGATGTACACGCAAAACTCAGGCCCTGGCACAAAACAAAGTCCAAATGGCCGAACAACCAGGACTTTCCACAGAGCTTACAGTCGGTGAAGACTGAAGAAAGACAATGCTTACTTTTTAAGTGTCGCATTGGGACCCTTTGATGCTCAAAGCCCGGGCTATTCAACTGGCTACCTTCTAAAACAAGTTCCTACAGAAGCTGCCAGGAACTTTCTAAAACAAGTTCCCACAGAAGCTGCCAGGAACTTTCTAAAACAAGTTCCAGAAGAAGCTACCAGGAACCTTCTAAAATAAGTTCCCACAGAAGCTGCCAGGAACTTTCTAAAATAAGTTCCCACAGAAGCTACCAGAAACGTTCTAAAATAAGTTCTCTCAGAAGCTACCAGGAACTTTCTAAAATAAGTTCCCACAGAAGCTACCAGGAACCTTTTAAAATAAGTTCCCACAGAAGCTGCCAGGAACTTTCTAAAACAAGTTCTCAAAGAAGCTGCCAGAAACGTTCTAAAATAAGTTCTCTCAGAAGCTACCAGGAACCTTCTAAAATAAGTTCCCACAGAAGCTGCCAGGAACTTTCTAAAACAAGTTCCCAAAGAAGCTGCCAGAAACGTTCTAAAATAAGTTCTCTCAGAAGCTACCAGGAACCTTCTAAAATAAGTTCCCACAGAAGCTATCAGAAACCTTCTAAACTAAATTCCCACAGAAGCTGCCAGGAACCCTATAAAACATGTTCTCAAAGAACCTACCAGGAACCCTTCTAAAACATGTTCTCACAGACGCTGCTCGGGAACTTCTAAAAGACATTCCAACAGACGCTGCCGGAGAACCTCTAAAACACACGTTGCCACAGACGCTACATCGGAAATCAGACTGTCAGCCGAAGCTGTCGACATCGCTCAAACAGAGACCGGTAATTACAAAGTGGCACTCAGAAACATGTGACGTCACGAGCAGACCAAGACAGCCGCAGTCGAACTATGACCGATTGTCTCACGATGCCTTGCACTGAGACCGACTTGTCTGTTTGTGTCTGTTTATGTCTGTCTGTCGATTCGCTAGACTATTTACGTCGTATTGTTTACGGTTACATTCATATATACAAATCTTCCTGTGGATTCAAGGGGTCCCATTGTGGAGAATACAAGAATAGACCCCCTGCGATCCTTTAGTACAGTTCCTCATGTTGTGGTGACCCTTTAGTACAGTTAATCATTTTGTGGCGACCATTTAATACAGTTCCTCGTGTTGTGGGGACCCTTTAGTACAGTTCATCATGTTGTGGCGACCATATAATACAGTTCCTCGTGTTGTGGTGACCCTTTAGTAAAGTTCCTCATGTTGTGGTGACCCTTTAATACAGTTCCTCGTGTTGTGGTGACCCTTTAATACAGTTCCTCATATTGTGGCGACCCTTTAATACAGTTCCTCATGTTGTGGCGACCCTTTAATACAGTTCCTCATGTTGTAGCGAATCTTTAATTCAGTTCCTCATATTGTGGCGACCATTTAATACAGTTCCTCATATTGTGGCAACCCTTTAATACAGTTCCTCATATTGTGGTGACCCTTTAATACAGTTCCTCATATTGTGGCGACTCTTAAATACAGTTCCTCATATTGTGGCGACCATTTAATACAGTTCCTCATATTGTGGCGACCCTTTTACAAATCTGGCTTATTGAATAATAAAAGGATTCGTTTTTCAAAAAAAAAAAAAAATAATAATAATATTGGCACCCAGGTCTATCCATTATAAAGTGTAAATCAAGTAATGTCTTGGGAGGTAAAGACGGTTGGCCTGATATTGACCTCATCAACCACTGAGTGCCGAGCTGTCTAAGGCAGAGCTAGCTACTCAACTGGGAGCCGGCGGTCAGATCTGGTCCGCAGAGGCCTAGTAAGTGGCCCTCAGGTTATTGCCAATTGTATTAAATTATTGAACTTTCTAGGCTTGGGACTTCTGGTCCGTGACGATCACCTGTCCAAAAGTATGGCCCCTGTATTAACATAGTTGAATAGTCCTTGTCTATAACATTCAGATTTAGCACAATATGCCCATACGTCAAATGCATAAAAGTTGTCTTTGACTTACCTTTCATTTACACAAATTTAGCTGAGCTATCACACTGGTTTAGTAGCTAGCACATCTGCATACCCACCCAACGGTCATATGGTCGAATCACTATTTAGGCATGCTGGTCAAGCGGTTAAAACTGCATGGATCTCGTAAGGGAGACCCAGGTTTGAATCCTCGGTAAAGTAGGGAAATTTGTTTCCCCTATCGGTAGCAAAACTAACAACCGAACCCGTATTGTCCTTGTTGACAGCCCTACCCATACGGCTCTAAATCGTCCAGCTTAAAGAACACCCTGCATACACCGCACATATCAATATACAGGCCGCTGCTTGGTGATTAGTGAGGATTATCGTCATAGCACTCCGAAAAGATCCATAGCTGCTCCGATCGGCTCCTTAAAAGCTCCACAAAAACTAACGACTAATGACACCTGTTGATCTAGTCAGGTAACTGAGTGTTTTTTTTTTTTTTAAATTGACATGGCTTCTTATTTAGACTAAAAAACTAAACTGTTGCATGAAACTGTGCGGGAAGTAAACTCGGCAACGTGGATAACGACAAGTTCTACTGGTGTATATAATATGGAGCCCTGAATATCCAATACCACTATGGCGTGGGCAAATATTCTTTGTATTTTACTTTAAACATAAAATAAAACGCCTACGCGTCATAGCTAACATTTTCTTTGGCTTGTTGTTTGTTTGTAATCTGAGGATGCAGCCAACCTGACATCCTGCTGGTTCAACCGTCAGTGAAAATTGTTGTCTGAAATAATCTATTGTTGCCGAGTTTCTTTGTTGTTTGCTTTAGCAATGTTCATTTCTTATTGAATATCTTCTTGCTACCAGACAGACTATAGATTCTCAAAATTATTGGGCCTAAAGCTAGCAAACAATTTAAAAAATAATTACCCAGCGTCGCCTGGTAATCTGTGTAATGTAAGAACCATATAAGAGGGGGAGTTATTGAGTAAAGGCAATTGTATCCTAGTAAGAAGAAACTGTATTCAGAAAAAAGGGCCCAGAGTGTCCTTTTCGCAATACCCAAAGTACATGTGACGATTTAGCAGCATGTCATGCGCAACAGCTCGTATAAGATGGCCGCAGCACTGTTGACATGCACCCTGGAAGTTGCTCGTTGTTTGTGGACAAAGGGTGTTAAACCGTC